CAAATTTTTTCCAAACCCCTCCCAGTATAAACCAGTATAACCCAGTACAAAACCAGTATAAACCAGTAACAAAAACCCCCTTAAACAACCATTTTTGATCGTTTTTTCACGTTTTTTTGCCCGTTTTTCGCTCATTTTTTGTCCGTTTTTTGTCCAATTTTCACCAAATTTTCACCAAATTTTTTCCTGATGACCCTCAGACCCTTCCCAGTCCCTCCCAGTCCCTCCCAGTATAAACCAGTATAAACCAGTATAAACCAGTATAAAAAATCCCCTATTAAGATCTGTTTCTTCCCATTTTTCAGCGTTTTTTCACCGTTTTTTGCCCATTTTTTGCTCCTTTTTCGCCCAAATTTCACCGAATTTTCACTGAAATTGCCCCAAATCCCCTCCCAGTCCTTCCCAGTCTAAACCAGTATAAACCAGTATAAACCAGTATAAAAAATCCCCTTTAAGATCCATTTTTTCCCATTTTTTGCCCGTTTTTTGCCCATTTTTCGCTCATTTTTCACCCAAATTTCACCGAATTTTCACCAAATTTTTCCCGAATCCCCTCCCAGTATAAACCAGTCCAAACCAGTAACAAACCAGTATAAACCAGTATCAAACCAGTATAAACCAATAACAAAAACCCCCTCAAACAACCATTTTTGATCGTTTTTTCACCGTTTTTTGCCCGTTTTTTGCTCATTTTTCGTCCGTTTTTCGTCCAATTTTCACCGAATTTTCACCAAATTTTTCCCTGATGACCCTCAGACCCTTCCCAGTATAAACCAGTCCAAACCAGTTCCAAAGCAGTAACAAACCAGTATAAACCAGTAAAAATAATCCCCTTTTATAGCCATTTTTGGTCATTTTTTTCCCATTTTTCCCCCGTTTTTTGCCCAATTTTCACTGAATTTTCGCCAAATTTTCCCAGAAAGTCCCCAAAATCCCTCCCAGTATAAACCAGTCCAAACCAGGCCAAACCAGTCCAAACCAGTATAAACTAGTAACAAACGCCCAGTTCAAAACCAATTTTTCCCATTTTTTGCCCGTTTTTCACTCATTTTTCACCCAAATTTTGCCCAAATTTCACTGAATTTTCACCAAATTTCCCCAAAACTTCCCCAAATCCCCTCCCAGTATAATCCAGTATTAACCAGTCCAAACCAGTAACAAACCAGTATAAACCAGTAACGAGTTCTCACTTCCAGAGCAATTTTCCCCCATTTTTTGCCCATTTTTTGTCCGTTTTTCGCCCAAATTTCACCGAATTTTCACCAAATTTTTCCCTGATGACCCTCAGACCCCTCCCAGTATAAACCAGTATAAACCAGTAACAAACCAGTATAAACCAGTATAAAAGATCCCCTTAAAGAGCCAATTTTTCCCCATTTTTTGGCCATTTTTTACCCAAATTTTGCCCAAATTTCACAGAATTTTCGCCAAATTTTTCCTGAATCCCCTCCCAGTATAAACCAGTCCAAACCAGTAACAAACCATTATAAACCAGTATCAAACCAGTATAAACCAGTATAAAAAACCCCCTTAAACAACCATTTTTGATCGTTTTTTCACCGTTTTTTGCCCGTTTTTTGCCCGTTTTTTGCTCATTTTTCGCCCAAATTTCACCCAATTTTCGCCAAATTTTTCCTGAATCCCCTCCCAGTATAAACCAGTCTCTCCCAGTACAAACCAGTGGTGACGACCCCCGCGAACACCCAGCACTGGCCGTATCTGACGGGCGCCCCGGAGCTCAGGAATCGCCGCAGGATCCCCACGGACCCCGCCCAGGCCGAGGGGTTCGTGCCCTGCGAGTAATCGCCCGTCCAGTTCCCCACCAGCACCCCGCTGTCGTCCAGGGAATTCACCTGGAAAAAACGAAATTTGGGAAAAAA